GATGGGAGAAGCTCATGCATTTATTCATTCATTGAATCAATGTTTACTGAGCACTTACTGAGTGCCTAACACTGAGGGCAGACCACTGAAGAAGACGGCTGGAACTCTTTGCCCTCACGGACATGACCTGGTGGGGCAGAACAGACAGGCAAAAAATGCCTACGTATTAGGATGTCAGAGAGGGACAAAATTCTAGGTGGAAAAATAAAGGAGAGGACAAATGGCGAGTCTGAAATGGGGGCTGTCATTTTAAAGAGGGAGGCCAGGAAAAGCCTCTCTGGAAGGGAAGAGCATTACAGGCAAAAGGAACAGCATATGCAAAGGTCCTGAGGCAAATGGCTTATAGGGGGAAAAGCAGGTGCCCAGGGCGGTCAGGGTGGTGGGAGGCAAGTGGCCCCATGGTCACCCTTGCACAGTCTCATTCGTGTGTACTGACCACACACAAGCACACTCTCAGGAATATGAATGGGGTGCACAAGCCTATACACAATTGTGGGCACGTTAACAGACACAACCAGCGCGCACAGCTGTGTTGTGGAATGAACTGCCACCAGCAGCGCCCTCCATGACTTGCTGGCTCGCAGCGCCCTCTGGTGGTCGTTTCCAGCACAGCCGTGCTCCGAAGCGCCCCGTTGCAGAATCTCGCCTTGATCACCCATCTAGCCTCCTCCTCTCCATGCCTTCATCTTCGAAGCCCTCCCCATCCTACCCCCGTGCCTTACACACTGCAATGAGAGGGACAGCCTTCCAAAAACAGAGCTGGCCATGCTCCAAACCTTGCCATGGCTTCTCAGGTGGGGAATTTCCCGGTCCAGGCACACCCAACCCAAGCCTTCTTCCTTGAGCCGTTCTTTTGCAAAAGCTGTGCTCCTGGCCAAGAATGCCCTTCCCTGCATTCTCCACCTGATACATTCTGTCTCTTCCTTGTCCTCCTCTGCCCAGCACCCCTGCCCGGGGCCTTCTCATCATGGGTCATTGTTTCGCCCATCAGACCCAAAGCTGAAATGCGACTGGTTCCTTGCAGCCCGACATCAGACCAGTCCCGGAATAGTGCTTTGGAAAAGTGCTTGGAGACGCTTGGAGGCAAGTAGAAGCCTGTTGCTCAGGGTCAGGTTCTGAAGCCATGATTGACAGGAGAAACCAGAAGGGGGGGCTCACCTGCTTTAGCTATCTATTTTTTAATTTTCCTTCACCTGCTTTATTTAAATGGCCATATGCTGATCCCTCAAAGCACATACTCTTGTGGAGTCACCATCATGCAAGCTGTTTTGGTCACCGCAGCATCCCCAGCATACAGTAGGCGCTCAGCAAATACTTGGAGGAATGGAGGAAAGCAACACTCCAGCAAGATTCCTATGGTCATCAATTGTTCTCATTTAGCAGAAGAGAAAACAGAGAATCAGAGAGGACGTGGCATGTTCAAAAGGCCACTGGCGAAGGCAGAACTACTGTCCAAACTCCAGTCTATCCGATGGCGACTGTCCCCCCTGCCTTTAACTGCCCATGCTTCCATTAAAATGGCCTGCATCGCCCTGCTTCCGAACTTCGTCTGCTGCTTTCTGAAAAGACACCAGCCCTTTCCTTCTGATGGATCCCTCAGGTCTGGCAAGTCCAGGTTCATGCTAAGGTTGCACAAAAACCCTGTGGGTCACACAGACACCTGTCAAGGGAATCCTGGGAGCCTCAGCATGGTGCCTCTTTGCCCCCCGAGGTCTGAGACATGGTGCATCCTCCTGGGAGGCGGAGGACAGGCACGCCAGGCCTCACGACTTCACATTCAGCCTCATGAAGCTGGTGAGGTTAGAGCCTTATTTGACAGATGAGGAAATCTGTCAAAAGCCAAGGCGTCGGGCATCTTGCCCAGGTCGCATCAACAGCAGGATGAAACCAGATTTTGAGCCCAGATGATCCTGACAACCACCTACAAAACTGCATCAGGCTTCTTACTAGAGGGCTTGCTCCTGTGATCTGGAACGCAGGACCACAGCGGAGGTCTTATCACGATGTCACAGGTGAGAAGTCGGCCGACAGAGTCGAGCAACTTGCCCATGGTCACACCAGCAGGGAGAAGAGAGGCAGAAGAACACTGGCACTGAGCTAAGGCCTCAGCCTGGATCTGCCTGCAGAGGGCTGTCTTCTGATCTAACCAGAAAGCAGCTGAGTGGCCTCGAGTCAATCACTCACCATCCTGTCCATTCTCATCATTGTTCTGTCCCCGTTCAGCCATCTCCAGACGGGGCTAACATCCTCCCCTGATGGAGTCTCATCCTCTCCCTGGCAGCATCTTAGATTCCCAGGAAGCTCTGACCATAGCAGCTCCTTTCTAAGTAAGACTGGAGATCCTCGGGGAGCTGAGGGCCTATGCTCACGCCCATGTGTGCAGTCGACACGTTTTTCCTGAGCAGAGAGCCAATCCAAGGCCAGACCACTGACACGACAGCCCCTCCCTCCCCCAGAAACACATACTCTGGAGGTGGAGGGGCAGGTAGGGATGGAAACAAACTGAGTCAGGAATTATGTTCTGTCTTCCAGTTTTCCATAACCAAAGATCCAGTCTCTAGACTGAAAGGATCCACTGAGTGCCCAGGTGGAGGCAAGAAGAAACCAAGGCAATTATGAACTCCTGGAAAAACAAATAACACAAAATAGAAAAGTAGTCCTCATGTACCCCACAGCTGAGCTCAGCCTGAAACAATATTGACATAATCATCATACTCTAAACCCCATATGGGAGGGTGGAAACTTGGGCCACGGTTTTATCACCAGTTCTAGGAGCTCAGCACATAATTAATGCTTGACTCGGTTCATTCCTGGAGTGTGAGCAGTCCTGGGGAGCAGGTGGCTACTGGGTTTTTTTCCTAGGGTGGTTGTTTTGCATCTTGCAAGGCTAAGTAGCCAAGTGTGTACTATTGCCTTAATTTAAAAAAAATTTTTTTTAAAGTAAGCTTTAAGGAAAAATAGAAAGGTCATTGTGTCCAGGGTCGAGGACGTAAGGGGAGGGAAGGGGTGGAAAGATGAGGTTAGGAGGTTAACGGCCCAGGTGGTGAGAGGGCAAAATTGGAATATTTTTAGACTCTGGAGTTATTCTGGGACACTCCTGCCTGCCAACTACAGGCTCAGGAAAAGAACCACAGCCACCCGACAGAGCCACAGGAGTGAAAGCAGCTTTGGTTGCTGCAGCCTCCAGGGGCGAGGCCACAGCCAGCCTCTGCAGGGCCCGACCTAGGCCACGCCCCCAGCCTGGTCAAGCATTTGATTGGCTGTTCCCCAATTACTTGGCTGCTTTGACCGTGAGCTTCTCCAGGATTAACACCTTTGCCTGGGAACCCAGCAGGAGGACCCTGGGTCAGGGTCTGCTCTGGGTGGGCCAGGGTCTGCTCTGGGGGACACAGAACCCCCCCCACACTAGGGCTCTTGGGTAGACCTAGGGCCTTAGCTTGGTCCAAGGTCTGAAGTGGCTGCCTTGCTGGCTCCGAGAGGTCATGGTAGTCCCAGGAGAGACCAGACCAGGCAGTCAGCCAGACCCCAAGTCAAGCCCCATGAATGTCCTGGACTCAAGATGTGGCCCAGGAAACGCTTAAAGGAGAAGTGCTATCAGATGCTGGGGTTTTCTTTCCCCCCTGAGCCATAAAGAGAGGAGCCTGTGTGTCCCTGGAGGCAGTGAGACTTCCCATCCCAGGGTTGCAGCAGCTCAGGGTTCCAGCCCTTTGCTCAGGACTGCGGCCCTCAGTTAAAGGCCCTTGCCTGCCACCCTGACCACCCCCCAGGCTCCTCCAGGGGTCACAGGCTCACCCACCCCATCTTTCCAACCTGGAACTGCTCTTGTATAAACGAAGAAAGGGCATTCAGATGGTTGACCTTGGGAAGCTGCTTTATAGAGTGTTGCAAAAATTCTTGGGTGGAGAGAAGAATTTGTCCCTGGTGGAGGAGGGCTGCCGGGAGCCTGGGAGCCGCTGATGAAGGGAATTCATTTCCTATCCCCTGGTGCCCAGGACTCAGATGGATTCTGACATCTGTTGGGCCAGCAGCCAGGATGCCCCGGGCATGATCAGAGCTGTGGCTTCTTTGGCCTCTTGAGGATAGATTTACACTGTCCTGAGTCTGTAGGTTATTTTTTGGTGCTGGAGGATTTGTGAGCCAAGGACGGATCTGTGTGGCAGGAAGGATGCAAAGATCTTCAAAGTTGTCCCTACGCACAGGGCAGAGCCTGTGTTGCAGAGGTGGGCTTAGAGGTGGGGCTCATCTTTTTCTTCCTCTCTCTCTCTTTCTCTCCCCCCACCACCACCACCCCACCACCACTTTTTTCTTTTTTTTTTTTTTCCTTTATTTGCAGTACTGACGATTGAATCCAGGGGCACTCTGCCACCAAAGCTCATCCCCAGTTCTTTTTTATGCTCTGAGACAGTGTATTGCTAAATACACCGGCTTCCGGCTTGTGATCCTCCTGCCTTCCAGATAGCTGGGATTGCAACGGTGCACCCCTGCACCCAGCTGTTTCTCTTCTTCACGTTTCTTCTGTCAAACATTTCTGCAACAAGTCTGTATTCTTTTCAGTGTGCATTAAATATATAAGATTTTAATAGGCTAATACCACGGAGTGACATCCTGTTGATATAATATTTTCATATCAAGAGATAAAAGACCATAATTATTTTAATTCTGCCTATTCTTTGCAGCTCAAATCCTGCTCCTGATGAGCAGCCTTTCTGGATTACCCAAACAGATCGTCTCAGGATTTCAGATCCAGAAGGGGGTCTCAACACCATCTAGTGATTTTTAAGACCCCAGACTAGCTAGGTACCAGGACACAGGTCTGTAATTCCAGCAACTCAAGAGTCTGAGTGGGGCAGGAAGATCACAAACCCAAGGCCAGCCTGGACAATTTAGCAAAACCCTGTCTCAAAATAAAAAGGGCTAGATGCCGCTCTATGGTAGAGCCATCCTGGGTTCAATCCCCAGTACCAAAAAAAAAGAAAAAAAGACTCCAAACTACAATGGTGTCAGGAACTGAGTATGGTTTAATGGTTTTTGGAGAAAGTAGCAAGGGTCCCAGGAAATGTTCCCGGATCTAATCCTGCCCCATGGTTTTGCTGGGGCAGGGTAAACAGTTGGTCTAGGGTTTGACCTCCAGCCAAGTTCCAAGCTGGTGCTGCCACGCCACATCCCCAGTCCCTCAAAGGTTCCAGCAGGTAGCTGTCGATGAAGGAACGGTGATCGGGGATGAAGAAATTCACAAAGTCCCCACCCTCCCCACGTCCTTCTGCCACACCAACCGACCTAAACTCTGTGACCAAAAACACCTGGCATAGGGAGGTCCTGGCTCTGTCCCATGCCACCACCACCCCCAGCTGGATTCCACCTGGAAGGTCCATCACCTGCGTGTCCAGCAGCTGGGCAGGAAAGACACCGAGCCGGGCCCCACCAGGGCTGTGCACTGGAACACCTTCATGAGTGTGACTGTTCTAAGGTCACCCAGTGACACTTCACGCAGCCTTTTCTGATGCAGTATGAAGTGGTCACCCAATATCATTTCTGACTGACTCCGTGGGTCAAAGCAGCCCACTCAGATTTTAAAGAGTAGAGACACAGACCTCTGCCTCTCACTGAAGGAATGTCAGAATTTACAGCCATTGTTTTTTCAAACCTCCATTACTCCTTCTGGAATTGTATCCTAGACAGTGACCATTCACATGGCCACCCACTGCACTTCTCAGTTTGTCTGCGTGTCGCCTTAGTGCAAGGGCCCTGGCAGGGGGCTTCCCCCTCCCAACTGGGAATACCTGGAGTAGGTCAGCACGGGACACTGGTGGATGTGAAGTGTGCAGACAGGACCTGAGAGCCAGAGGCCACAGTGGCTGGGCAGGCAGGAAAGGGATGGAGGCTGAGGGACGAGGCCGGGCGATAAGATGGAGGCTGAGGGAGGAGGCCGGGCGATAAGGCAGCTTGGAGCCTCCCCCAGATGGAGGACGGAGAAGCCTGCAAATCAAAAGATAAAAGCAGGCGGAGCAGTAGGTGTGGGAAGAGAAGATAGTGAGCTTGCAAGGAGACAGGGACTTGATAACCTCTCCTCTTTCTGGTTCAGCCTGGGAAGCCTCTGGTGTCCCCGGTAGAATTCCCTGTCCCTCCTCTGAGCGTCCCATAAACCCTCATCACACCGTACGGGAACCCACAGACCCAGGCCGGATGCATCTTTGGGTTCCCAGCCCAAGCAAGAGAAAGGACCCCCACCCTGAGCCGAGGTCTTCCAATGGGTTCAAGGACAGGGACCCAGGCCAGTCGGCCTCAGGAGGCTGCCAAGAGCCTGTGGGACTGAGTTCTCCTCGGGTTTACTGGTGTCTCACGCTGGCCTGTGATGGATCTAACTGGGCTCAGTTTCCTCAACTGTAAAATGGGTGTTTTCATCAGACTTGCTTGAAAGGGCTGGGGTCAGGGTTAGCAGGTTCCTGGCACAAAGTCAGAGCTCAGGGAGGTCTGGCTGCTAGATCCAACCCTTCCTGAGTGAGGCCCAGGCAGGGGCATGAAGAGCGTCCTCACTGGATCCGAGTGGGCTCCGTGGACTAGGGTTTTGGCTGAACACACGGATTCCCCTAAAGGGGCCCTTCCTTTAGAGGTGTCCAGCCCGACCCCAAGCGGGGCCAGGTGGGAGTTGGCGGGAGACACCTCCCGAGCACACCTAGATGTGGACCAGGAGGGGGCACTGAGCCTCACCTCTGAATCACTGAAGTCACTCAGGACGCTTTTGGTCAACAACATCAGAGGTTTCCTGGAGGTGGGGGCAAATCCAAAAGGTGACAAGGTAGAGGGGTGAAAAGTGTCTCCCACCCCCATTCTCAACCCCTTGGCACCTGCCCAGAACTCAGCCAGTGTCATCAGTTCCTTGGGCATCCTTGCAGAAAAAAGTAAAGATCTTTTTTTTCCTTTTTTTCACTGCCCTATACACCTTTGTTCACTTAACGTTCTCTTGTATGTCCTTCCTGGGCACATGGTGGCACACGCCTGTCATCACGATGACTTGGGAGGCTGAGGTAGGAGGATCACCAGATGGAGGCCAGACTGGACAACTTAGCAAGACCCTGTCTCAAAATAAAAAAATAAAATGAAATAAAAAGGGCTAAGGATGTAGCTCAGTGGTAGAGCACCCCAGAGTGACACACACACACACACACACACACACACAATTCCCTTTTCTCCTCTATATCCTTCCATTTCAGCACAAGAACAGCTCTCTTGTCCTGTTTTGCAACTGCATAATACACCCCTGCTTGACTCTCCCTGGGTGGAGTGAGCCAGGCCCCGGCTGGACAGCATTTGGGTCTCTCTAGTATTTTTCCATGAGCACCAAGTGTCCTTGTGCAAACAGCATTTCCCACACGGGATGCACCTCTGAGGGAGACAGTTCTGGAAGGGTCTGGTTTGCAGGCAGGGAGCCTTAACCTAGACAGACTCCTAACATAGCCAGATCTCCCTTTATCCACCAGGCCCCCAGCAGGGTCTGAGAAATTTTGAATGAATAAAGGTGACGCTTGCATAGACAGGGTGAGGTGCCATCGGCCCTGCCAGGGATGATGGGAGCCAAAATGAGCTTCCAGGGGTGGGAGGGGGAAGGAGCATCATGGGTGAGGGTGGGGGATCCCGAGGGCTGTGATGTTGACCAAGGATGCCCAGACGCCATCCTGCCCGCCCCCCCCCCCAGAACTGTGGCCTTACAGATGGGGACAGGTCCCATGAAGAGACAGAAGCAGTAGATTCCGTCCGGCCCCCCCACAGTCAATGTCCCCTCGGGCTGGGGGACAGTGCCTGCATTCCCGTCCTGCTCTCTGCTGACTTACCGAGTGACTCCGTTCATCTCTTTCAGTCTTAATTTTACCATCTGTAAAATAGGAGAGGGACTCGGTGACAAGCACTCCTCTCTGCAAGATCACTCATGGGGAACCCGGCACTTGGGACCTGCTGGCGCTCAGGAGCCACTGTGTGGTGTGGCCGGATGGGCATGTGCTGAATGAGAGCGATGACATTCAGTGTGAAGAACATGTGTCCAGAGTTCCAAGGCCCCCTTTCTAGGATGTGGGATTTGGGGCATCTGCATTGCTCACATAGCAAATGAGAGTCAGCACCCTAGATCTGGGTTCAAGGTTATGGCACCAATGTGGGGGCATCTCTGCCTGCCTCCAGGATGCTGGGGACCAGGAGATGGGAAGGCAGTGGGTTTGTCCCTCAGGGAGGGCAGGAAGGGCAAGGCCAATCTCTGAGGCCTTTCCTCCCCCTCCCACGCGTAGCCTCCTGCCAGACAGCCCAGGCCATCTGGCAGGTTTTGATAAATGAATATTATAAACAACAAACAACCCCAGAAAACCGGGGAGCCCTGCTGGAGGCTGCGGGATCCCTGAGGAGGGGAGGGGGACCTCGGTGGATTCCAGGGCACTGAGGAGGTTCCATTGGCAGGTGGCCCTGGCAGTTTTGGTGGGAGGCACATCCTCCTCGCCACAGGACACTGTGGAGTAATAAAATCGTAATAATGATGATGACAGGAGTGTGCACGATGGGATTTAATGCTTAAAATAACCCGGAGAGAAAACTCTGGCAAAACACCTCTCAGATAAAAGCCTAGCGCCGAGGATATAGGAAGAACTTACTGCAACTCAACAGTAAGAAAACCAACAACGGAATTTAAAAAAAAAAAAAATGCACAGAGTATCTGAACAGACACCTCCCAGAGAAGCTCTGGATTGCAAATAAGTTGCTTGGAAGCCCTGGGAGTCGGGGCAATGCAAATAGAACCATCAGGAGATTCCACCACGCACCTGTTTAGAATGGCAAAAAAATCAAAATGACTGACAATCAGAGGCTGGGGTGGTGGCTCAGCGGTAGAGCGCTCGCCTGGCACGTGAGGGACCCTGGGTCTGAGCCTCAGAACCATATTAAAAATAAATAAACAAAATAAAGATATGGTGTCCATGTATAACTAAAAAATATATATATTAAAAGAAATGACTGGCGATCACAGGGATTGGTGAGAGGGTGCAGAAACTGTAATCCTCACCCATTGTTGTGGTGGGGGTGGTCATGAAGTTCAGTGGACTCTGACTTTACAACTGAGCTGTTCCACTGCCAAGAGAAATGACCATGTTCATAATCACACACACACACACACACACACACACACACACACACACACACACACGCATGTACCTGCACGAAAATATTAACAGAAACTGCAAAGGAAAAAAAAAAAAACCTGGAAAGAATCTAAATGTCCATGAACTTGGCCATGGATGAGCAAACTGTCATCTATCCCGATCTCCGTGGGACATCACTAAGTGACACAAAAGGAATGGACGAGGAACACTCATGTGACCCTACTGATGAGGCTCAAATGAGAGCTGCCCGATTAAAAGAGACCAGATAAAAGGTTCTATTCACTAGGATTCCCTTTCCAGGGCATTCCAGGAAAGGCACAACAGCGGTGACCGGGGAGTCGGGGCAATGCAGATAGAACCATCAGGAGATTCCACCAGGCACCTGCTTAGAATGGCAAAAAAAATTAAAATGACTGGCAATCAGGGCTGGGGTGGTAAGGGGCTGGGGTGGGGCTGGCGATCACCTGTTGAGGATCACCAGGGGAATCAGGAGTCGTGTTCTACATGACAGTGGGGTGATTATCCAACTGTATACATTTGTGAAAGGGCATCCCACGGTGCGCTTCAGGGGGTGGATTTCATTGGATACAATTGTAACTCTCTTAAGCCGGAGGAGGAGGAGGGATGGTGCTCAACAAGAGCCAGGCTTGGGCTGGGGATGTGGCTCAAGCGGTAGCGCGCTCGCCTGACATGCTTGCAGCCTGGGTTCGATCCTCAGCATCACATACAAACAAAGATGTTGTGTCCGCCAAAAACTAAAAAATAAATATTAAAAAAAAAAGAGCCAGGCTTTCCCAGTCAATGGGGGCAGACAGATCCACCTCCGGGTCAGACAGGAGCCATTTCTAATGTCTAGTACCCTTGTGTGTGCAAAGGCATCATCTCCAACCACTGTTCACCTGCCACCGGTGTCAACTATTGCTGTCACTAGGTGTCACCTGGTAGTGTGGTAGTACATGCCGGCTCCCCATGCCCACCCCCTGCAGCTAGGTACTGTTTTCTGATCCTTTGAGAATGTCTGGCATCATGACCTTTCATTCCTCCCAGAACAAGGACATTCTCCTATACAAACCAGCATGTGATCATCTCACCCAAAAAATACACAAACCAGGAAAAAAAAAAAAA